CGCAGTCCCCCAGCAGGGTCCATGCCGGCGGCTCCCTTCGTCCCTGCTGCTCGTGCCCAAGACGAGGGCCCCTGGAGTTGCTGCTCGGTGGCCCCGCCCTGCCCTGGCCGTGGGGGTTGGGGGCGGTAGCCTCGAGCCGGACTAGCGGGGAAGCCCGGGGCAGGGGTGCACACGTGTGTCCATGGGTGGATGTGTGCACACACGTGCGTGCAGGGGATCGCAGCCCCGCGCTCACCTGCCCTCGCTCCGGCCCGTCCCGCCGCCCCCCGGCACCAGCCCGGCCTGGCAATTGTTACCGCCGTCTCCCGGGGCAACGGTGTGACGTTGCGCCCCCGCCCCAGGGCAGGCCTAGCCCGGGGAGAGGAACACGTGGTGCCGGGGGGTGGGGAGGGAGAGAGGGGGCGCGGTTTGATGAGGTCGCAGACGGGCGGGGCGGTGGGCTCCGCGTCGCGCCTTCATGGCGCGCGCTGCTTAGCGACGAGCGGTTGCTAAGGGCGCCATGGACGCCACCGCCCGGCCGCTGCGGGTGCCCCCGGAGATGGGCCCCTACGCCGAGAAGCACGGGCTCTTCCAGCTGCTGCAGGTGCCGGGCGGGCGGGCGGCGCGGGCCTGGCCTGGCCTGGCCTCCCCTGGCCTGTGCCCCACACGCCGGGCCCGCGCCCCAGGGGAGAGGGGCTCCCGGCATGCACTGGGGCAGCAGCGTTGGGCTGTGTGTGTGTATATATGTGCACGTATAGATAACGTGCATGTGTGCAAAGTGTGTGTGGGGGGTGTGTGCGTGCATGTGTCATGTACATTGCATGTATATATTGTGTGCGTGCGTTTGTGTATGTATACCGCGGGTGCCATACTCTGTGTGTGTGTAGAACCATGCACACACACGTATATCTGTGTCAGGGAGAAGGCAGGGTAGAGTGGCACTTTAGAGACTGACTAAATCACGGGCAATATCACAGAATCGAAGGACCCGAAGGGACCTGCAGGACTATCAAGTCCCGTCCCTTGCCCCAGGCAGGAGGTTGTTGAGCTGAAACGAGCTGCTTGTCCAGCGCTTGAGGCACGTGAGCTTCTGCGTGTGCTGCTGTGCTCAGGGGTCCTGTGACTGCTGCCAGCATGTGCTCAGGACCCCCAGCATGGAGGGGCTGACTGCTTTTTTCAGCCCCCCATGGCATTTCCTCAGGGCTCTGCACGTAATGGAGCTGCTGACATGCTAAGGCTCTGGCCGAGTGAGCTGCTGCTTACAAAAGCGGATGCATCCCTGCATGAATTAGTTCATAAGGGGCATCCCTGCCCTGCCCTGCCTTTTCCCTGCGTTTAGACTAACACGGCAAACTGCCTGCCTATTAACATGCAGGGGGATGCAGTCACCGCTCCCAGCCTGTGGAGGACATGTGTTCCTGGCATGCAGTGCAGTGCCCTGGTGCAAGGTGGGGAGAGCGAGCCCAGTCCCAGCTTACACTTGGAAGCTGCAGTGGGTACGGACTGGGAAGCATGTGCTGGAGTTCTGGTGACAGGACAACCACAGGGTTTCCTAGACCAGCGGTTCTCAACCTTTTTTTGTATCCGGACCCATTTGTAAACATTGATGGCTGGTTCTGCCCCCCACGCCCCAGCCCCCACAGGATGTGAGGCAAGAGGTGGGTGTGTGGGGGGCATGGGGACCTGCAAGCAGCCCCTTGCAGGCTGTAACTGCCAACCTGCAAGGGAAGAGCCCCAGTTTCCCACTTTTTTCTCCATTAAAGTTCTCGATTTATGTTTTTCTGCATTTTTAAAGTTTGTTTGCAACCCTTTCATATATTCTTGCAGCCCACTTTTGGGTCGTGACCCATGGGTTGAGAAATGCTGTGCTAGAGCATCTTTGCAGAGGGACGGTTGTTTCCCAGTTGCCAACTGGCACCTTTGGTACTTCCTTATTATCGTCAATGTGGAACACTGTGTGTGTCTGCGAGAAGGCATCTTGTAAGAACTCACAATATTTAATACCAAAAAATAAAGCACCCTTCTTTTGTATCTCCCATGGAGCTTGTCTTGTCACCCTTCTTATTTTGACCTGCTATCATTGTGCTGTTACTGTGGATAACTTAGCAGGGACATTGCCCTTGTCTCAAGGAAGCTAGACAAGCTATAGATTGTAAAAGTACACTTATCACCAGAATTTAATTGCACTGTGTTATTTTGTGGGGGAAATTATCTATAGAAGGAAGGAAGGGAGGCAACAGTCTGGTCCTTAAGTTTAATTTAGTTGTTTCACTTCAGCATGGAGAAAGTTGGTTGAAGGATATGAGTTCTCAGGTTGCGTTGAACATCATTATAGCTTGTTAGAATTACTGTCCATAAACCTGGACAAACCTGACAAAGCATATCTTGCATTTGAAAGTGTGTCTAACTCTATCCCAGCTACATAGTTGGTCCAGTAAAAGATATCACCCTAAGAAATCCTTGCCTCTTGCATAATTTCTGGGCCATCACAGCTACAGCATCACTGTTAGACTGCTTTGTCCATAAGTGCACACGTGTCAATATTAACATTTCTCATATCTTAAGTTTGTGTGTGGTGAGGTCTTTCCAGCTCCCTTCCTAGCTGTGGTAAACACCTACCCTTTTTCTGTTGCCTATGTCCTTTTTTTCTCTCTCTGCCTCTGTTCTTTATTATTCTCTGGCTGTTAACTCTGCAAACTCTTTCAAAATCTATTCAGTAGGAATATTGTATAAAGTTTGCTCTTCCAAGGAAAGCTGCAGGTTGCATGTCACAGACATGCTGAGCAAACCAACATGACCTCCCATTGCAGGAAATCCTTACCACACTTGCTAGGAGCACATCCGACTCTCTTCACATCCCAGCCTTGTGAGTAACTCAAAGGCACAAGAAAATGCATCTTAAAAGTATGGCCCCAAACTGCAACATTTGTACCTTACTCTGCTTAATCTGAAACATGTGAATTGTCCCATGGAAATTAATGAGATTGCAGTAAATTACTTGGCGGTTAGGAGTTCTTGATGCTTTTCCTGGTTCTAGTAAAGTAATGTTGTTTTAGATAAGGTGGGCCAGGGAAAAACCAAGACATGAGATTTGCTTGGCGATAACTTTAACCGGGTGAAATCTATCTTTGGAAGAGATGTTAGGCAATGAGGTTCAATACAAGTAATTGTTCTAACTGCATCTGCTGCCTACCAGATCTGAGGAAGAACATTTTGTGCCCTAGACTGAGGCTGTCTAACATGTCTTTCAGAGATTAGCTGGTCCAAGAAAAGATATTTTCCACACACAGAAATCTTGCTTTAGGCCATCATTATGCACCAAAAATTGACTAAAACAAACACAAACTCATTCCATTTCTCTTGACAAATCATCTTTAACCTATCTGCACTTCAGTTTGCACTTTTCTAAAATAGGCTGAATATGGGCTTAATGATGTAATATTGGTAAATTCATTAAGATCCTAAGATAAAAGGCTGCTGTAAAAATTCAGTATAAAAATTCAAAATATCCTTATTGTCATTTTGTGGCTGTGTTAAATTTTCTTCTGAACCCATCCTGTTTATTTTCAGAATATGGTTGAAAAGTTGTTGATCCATAAACCGGATGATCCCATTGAGTTTATGATAACACATTTAAAGCAGGACAATGATGATGGTGAGTGTGTGAGAGTCTATAGGTAGCTCAAGTGATTCTTTATGAACAATTGATGCGAAGCTGCACCTCATTTAGCAAATGGATAAAACTTTTCAGTCTGTCTTCAAACAAGTGAGCAGTTTGGAACAGTGTAGGTGAGATGCTTTTAATTTCTTTTCTAGTGGATAATCTAATAAAAAATGCACTTTCACAGTTATAAAAATGAAACCCTGTACAGGAATAACAAAGAGTTCTTGTGTATCAATTATTAATGTTTTCTATGCCCCATCTGATAGTTCCTGTTGTCTTTAAGCTAGCTAATTACCTCTTTTATCAGGTATAAATTTGATTTCCCATTCTACCTGGGCTGGCAGCCTCTCTAGTTTTTTGATTGGTTAGTTACCCGCTACTGTTAATGAGATCCACAGCTCACTGGTATCTCAGATGAAGGAACAGTGAGCCTGCCTATCTAGATGTATAACAAAACCTGATAAATTGAATAGGAAAGGTGTTTTCCACACCATAAAAGCATGTACACTCAATCAAATTATTTGATTTACAAACTGTTCACCCTTAGGCAGATTATATTTGTATATGCACAACTGAACTATAATTTTGTTCTGCATGAGCTGTCAAGAGTAGCTGGTGTCATGTTGCTTTGATGTGCCTTTAAAACCATAGTAAACCATTATGAAAGTTGTACCGCAGCATCAATGAAATTATTATCACTAGAGATGCTGAGAGCTCTTGGTACGTAGTTGGGGTGATCAGATGGATGTCAACTGAAATGCTGCTAAACAGCAAAAATCAAACTGCAAATTGTGTCCAGCCTTTCCTGATGTGGGCAGCATGAGCAATCTGATCTGTTTTACAGACACTGAAAGTACACATAAGAGACATTTCATGTAGTTTTATAAGATGCTGATAAAACCCCATCACATTGAGCTAAGACTTGTCCTTTAGCCCCACAATATTATTTGAAAGGAATCGGGCAGGCTGCCATTTCATAATCTCAGTAAAACGAGATACAGCTAAAGTAGCTGTTTGCAAAAATGAAAACTTGCTATCTCTTTTTGGTTGAAAGAAGCATGTGTGTAAGGAACTTCAAATAAAATAAAACCTATCTCTTGTTTTAAAGGTAAAGTATATGGAAAATGCTGTAATAGCAATGCTCTGCAGTTGAGTTGATTTAATTTTTTGATCACGGTGGAAAGTGCCGACTATTTAGGAAAAATAAAACTCTTATTAGAGCCATCAAGAAAGCAATGAATTTTCATGATCTTGCCTTGCTAGACATTTTTAGCCCCAGAGAAAATTTCAAACGGAGATGCTGGGGGTGGGGAGACATAACATCTATCCCAGGTATGAAGTTAGAGCTGATTATTAATTTAAAAGTTTTTCTGAAGTACTCTTAAACATATAAACAAACCTGATAATAATTGTAGCATTCGACAATTCTGATGAAGCTTTTAGGTCAAATATTAGACGATTGGGTATTCATACAGAAGGCTATGCACTACTGTTGTTTCATGTGATCATTTGAAAAAGCAAAAAAAAGAAAGTGAAAGCTAAGTTATTTCTCCAGTATCAGCGTATTACTTTGTATGTGTTATCCTAGCTTGTGTTAATAAAAGGCTCCCAGGATCTATATAAGACTTGTTTTGTAAGTTCCTCCTTTTATAGTCATACCCATGATAAAATGTAACAGACTTTTGAAGAAAAAAAAAAAGATTCATCTTGCACCATTTGCTTTTCCTGCTGGACAGAAGATTGGCCTTAAAAATGTTGTCATATTTAATATTAATCATATAATCATTTGGGCTCCAAGAGAAAGAACCCCTGTGAGTCCAGTTCATCCTTTCACATTATGACAGAATTAAGTTCATTATCACTAAAACCATCCCTGAATGTTAAATCTTAAAATGGCTTGGAAAAAGCAAACCTTGTAACATCTTGTGAAGAACAAACATTGAATGAAATCTGGTTTTCAACCAAAGAAAAAGGGGGGTTGCAGTTTTCCCTGTATTCATTTAAGTACCAGTGCGGACCTCAACCACTTATACTAAGTGTATGCTGATTTGAGGGGTTAAACATTACATACGGTGATGTCCTAGCTGTGCCCTTGTGTCATATGTTTAGGGAGAATGCCTTAGAAGATTCTTACAAGTGTGCAAATGAGTAAATCAGTGAATTACGTTGCCCCATCTGCTGCCAGCCTCTAAGCAGAGAGAAAACCAGATTTAGTACAAAGTGAGCATTTACAGTAGCCCTGGGCAATATTAAAGCATGATATGGTGTATATAATGGTATGTTTCGTTTTTTATCAAACGTTTGTCCAAGAAAGCTGTGTATTAAAGCTTCAATACCTAAGGGTTTTCTTGTGAATTTTAAATCATGCTCCTAGTTAAACCTCAAAAGGATCTGTGGATGGAAAGGTTTTTTGATTTTCTTTGAAGTGGTTTGAAGAAGTTGATTAGTGTTGGCACCCGAGCACTCTTTTATGACGCTGTTTATAAATAATTCCTAAGTACCGGGCTGGAGTTTCAAGGTGTTAGATTTTAAGAAACCAGGATTTAATCACATTACATTTGAAAGAAATTAGGTGATAAAAACAGCTGATGTATCCTTTTAAAGTATTTTTCTATATTGTGTACTAGTTCTGTTGCACTTGCAAGAACCAATAAGGGGGGAGTTTTCCTTAAACCTTCTAAGTCAAATAACTTTGTAAAGATGAATTTGTAATTTGGGTTCCATGCATGTTTAAAAATTGCACCTGCCCAACCACTGCTGAGTGCTTGCAAGGCCTCATAAAAATACATTTCACATCCTTTCCTGTCTGCTGACATCAGATGATTGATTCCTTCTGGTGCTGAATAGCTGGAGAGGTTTTTGGCTGGACGGAGCCTCCACTCATTTCCTATGACCCATGCTACCCTTACTAAATACCTAGCAATCCCTGCTGTTTTAAGGCTTGGGGGGTGGGTTGTGTGCATGTGAGAAGAAGTGAAATATCTCAAGATATTAACCTAACATGACAATTCAAGGCATCGCAGTCCAAAAGATGTTCCAGCCAAATAGCCCCAATTTTTTTTTCCAGGAGTTCGTTCCTCCTTTCCCCTTGTTCTGTCACACCACTAATTGTTCCCCATGCCCTAGAGTGATTCCACTCCTTGCAATGTCTGTATAAATTAAATTGCTTATTCTTTGGAACAGGGACCTTATCCAGTGTTTTACTCTTAAATTCACTTTGCACAGCTATGGCAGAATGTACAGAAGAGTTAAGTCAATACTAAGAAATGTACACAGTGGAGAGAGGACAGGGTTTGTGCGCCAAAGGAAAAGAGGTTGCTGATTTGGCAAGCAGAGCTCCCCACGCTCCCCACCTCTCCCCTGCTGTTGCCTCCTCTTCTTGTATTGATAAACACAAGAAGGGACAAAGGGAGGAAGCCTGGATGTAAATGCCGACTAGAGGAAGGACAGACAGCAAACTGTAATGCAGAGAAAAAATATGGAGTAACTTGTTTTCTCCTGTGACTGCAAAAAGTTTTACATTGTGCCCCAGAGGCAATCTCAGAAGTGTTCCGAATAGTGTTTCTTTCTCGATCTACCCAGGAGATAGCTATGCTCAATAGGAAAGAGAGAGCCCTGATTTTGCAGTGTCTGAACCTCACCGACTCATGACCCAGTCTAGCTAAACAAAGGTGTGAGTTGCAATTATATTACTCTTGTCTGTGAAAAACCTCTTTTTTAAGAGCAAACAGGAACTGTGTTTTTATTGCAGAGCTGTGTAGAAGAAGCAATATACGAAAAGTCGCTTTTAATTTGTCACTGGACTGCACATACAAAATGAAATAAATCTCTTTTTGAACTGCTCGTTGCATCTGATCTAAGCCATTTAACATATTGGGAATAAACAGATACGTTAGAAAAATACTTATTCAGTGCTTCTGCCCTGCCTCGGTGTCCAGTAAACTGTTGAGGTGCTTAAAGTTAGGCATGTGCTTAAATACCTGGCTTAAATACCTGATTATGGAAATTTAAAATAAGATATGATCTGACTAGTGTGGATTCCCCATTACTCCCTACCAGGCAGGCTCCTCGCTGCCGTAACTGTATTGCACTGCAATTATGTGTATTATGTGTGTATATAATACATAGGGAAACCAAGGAGGCTGTTTTGTCTTTCTGTGTTTTAACATTTTCTCATATTTATTCTATAGTTCCAAGAATTTGCATAGTTGGTCCACCTGCTTCTGGAAAAACCACAATTGTAAGTATATTACTGTCAGTGTTAAAATATTACATTGCCAGATGTTTGCCAATAAAAACTTACTCTGGCATAGCTGTGGAAGATTTCTGACAGTGGTAAAATAGCAATACTTGTTATTTCTGTCTTATAGGGACTGTTATGTTTGTTGGGTTTAAGAGATTGTGATCTGGAACTGTTTTTTAATGTTCGGGTGTCTGTCTTCAGATGCTTTGGGCTACGTTTGCAGTGGCACTTGTTTTTCCCAGTGAAATTACTTGTGGTTGTGAGGGCTCAACACCTGTGAAAATCTTACTCCGCAGATGTAACTTTTCAGAAATGCCAACATGACTCAAGAGCACAAATGCCACTGAAAGTCAATGTCCCTAAGTTCCCTAAACGCTTCAGAAAATCCCAGCCTTGGTATTCAAAGTTTGCATTCAGAGAAAGAGGCAACTTTTGAAAATGTGATCTTTAATCTGCTATTACTTTTTGGGCCATATAGTGTTTGAAATGAGTTAAGATTGCACACATTTTTTACCAAACTGAAATGTTATAGTTTATAGACTGTAGCCATAACTCACTTGGCTGAAGGACTTTGAAAAATTAAGCGGATTAAGACAGTTGAAATCTCATTTCCACGGTATAAGGAAAATAAATATTTCCATTATATGGCATGGAACCAATGTATTACCTTGGCAAGATTGTAATAGTTTAGGAGATTCCCAGACAAAAAAAAAACTTTGTTAAAATGGTGTTTGAGTCTTTTTACTAATGATTTATAATTTAAAGTGAAGGAACAAACAAACAATAAAACAATATTGGCATTTGAACCTTGAAAAGCCAGGAAATGCTAAATGAAAATTTGAAGCAAAAAAGTATGTAAATACAGAAATACTATGCATCATTCCATTCTGATATAGCCAATATATGTTCAGTATATTCTGTATAGATCTAATATATCTTATGTGGAAGGTATACTTGTTTTACAGATACAGAAGTATGTTACAGTTAGCTGCACTATTAAACCTGTATGCCTTTATGGTTTGGTCATAAATCCTGTGATGCAGGGACATCTTGAGTCCTGTACAATGAATGGGAAATGTGTATGTTCCTTATCTCTAAGGCTCTGTCTTACAGGCAGTTCATCTATAAGCCTGAAGAAGCCTAAAAACCCAAGATGTCTTTTGCAAAATTTCCTCCCATGACCGATATATCCTAGCACAGGAGTGGACAAGATGCAGCCCACGGGCCAGATGCATTCTGCCAGACCATGCTATCCGGCCTGTGAGGCCCCTAAAAAATTTAGAAAATTAATATTTATTTGCCCCTGGCTGCCTGTCATGCAGCCCTCGATGGCTTGCCAAAACTCAGTAAGTCGCCTTCCGCCCAAAATAATTGTCCACCCCTGTCCTAGCATATGTAGCAGATTTGCAAATGTATACAGGAAACTGTATTGAGGAAGTGGGAAGGAAAGTCTGCAAATCTTTACGATATAAACTAAACCCCATGGAAATCAGTGGAAAAATCTCTCTGCTTTCCCTGTATGTTTGGATAGGTCCTTTTTGTGTATGTGATGTGTAAAGGAAGCTTTGGGTGTGGGTATCACCATCTTGTCCATCTGTGACCACAGTGTGAGTGGCTACTTCATAGGTTATACTGAATATGGTCCATATGTAATGGGAAAATGTGACTCATTTTTCGATGTGTGTCTATGGTATTTATAAGAAGCCTCTTGGATTATTTTCTAAGCAACAAAAGGTGAATGCAGAATGTCATAAGCTTGTGTCATGAATTTGGATATTGGGATGGGGCATGAATTTGGAGAGAGATACAGAGTTAAAATTATTTTTGTATATCTTAACTGCAGATTTGTAATTAACTTCCTTTTTTAAGTTATACCACGAATTAACATTTCCTGGCTTTTCAGTGGGTGTGATTTTGAAAACTTCAGTGCTATTTTGTTTCCCCCTAAATTTAATCTTTAGTAGTTATAGATTTGCATTAACGAAGCATCTGAATATTTATTTAAGCTTACAAATGTGGATTGTTTGTTTAATTGGAGGCCAGGAAATACTGACTTTTTAGCTTTTGGTGGGCTTCTAAAAACATGTTTTATTTTCTTGGCAAAAAATTTAGAACTATCTATTTTTTTCCTGTTCTTCCCTCAGGCAATGTGGCTTTGTAAACAATTGGATGCCATACGCGTCTCTCCAGAGACTTTGCTATTGGAGGAATTATTAGAGCTGACAAAGGAAGCAAGAGCATATAAAGAAAGAGAACAGGTATGTAGAGGAAGGTAACAGCACCCATTCTGCACGTTCTAGTTATGGAAGAGAAGCTGTCTGACACTAGCCTGCTTTCTATTGGCATGCAACTTGGTCAGATTGAAGTATCTCACTTCCTATCAACAGCTGCTTGGATGCTGGCTTTTGAATTGGTGGGTGAAGGTGTTTCCTAAAAGAGAGGCTAATCCTTTTCTCATAAATGATGATTTGAACAAAGATAAAAATATGGTGCGGCACAGGCAGGCAAAAATGGTGCATGAGAGACAGAAATGACGAGCTTGTAAATCTTCGTATTAGATACTTGTTGGACACTGGAATTAAGGTGGTTCCGGGTATGCACAGCATTGTTTAAAGAGTAATTTTTCATTTCAAAAGACAAAGCCTGTCCTTCTTTATGGAAGTCATCAAGCATGCTAAAGTGAGCATTATCTCTAGGGTCTATTTTAGTACGAAGTAGTACCAAATGATGGGTTTGTGGAGAAGACTTTTTTGACATGACGGAGCTAGTTAGCACTGTCGCATGATGCAAATAATGTACCGGGTGCGTTCACTCAAAATAGCGTGACAAGCCAGCCATTCGCTTACTGCAAACCCTGCAGCAGGCTGGAGAGGACTTTTCCTTCCAAGGCTGGCCAAACTGAAATGCTTTATCCAATTTTCAGAAGAGCATTTGGTTCCTCTTTGTGCAAAGCCATTAATCCTCCCTGCCCTCAGTACAACCCGGTAGCCTTGACCAGCTATTTCCTCTTCCCTAATAGAAGCTCTTTTGAACCGAGTTCTTCAATGAGCAGACTTGCCAGTTACCTTAGGGAATGCTATCGACTTACAGAAAGTTGTTTGCCTTGTTGGTCAGTGGTGTAAAGCCTACAGTGTTGACAGCTAATGAAAAATAGAAGAGAATGAAATGTAGAAAGTCTGTCCAAAATAAATTGGGATATTTCCTGTTCTTTTCAGTGCTCCTTGCCCTCCCCACCTACAAAAAAAAAGTAGAACCCCACTGTTTATTACATGGAGTCAAAGAGCGAAGCCTAGAGATCCTTAAGTAGCATCTAAGGACGTGGAAATGAAGGGGTCATTAAATCATTGAGGTTACTGTCAAAATATCTGCTTTTAGCTGGGGTGGGATAACATGGTGTACAAATGGCTGTTATATTGGGAAAAGGAACTTTACTTTTTTACTGGAATTATTAAAGATTATTTTACTAGATTCATAAAACTCAATGTAGAGGGGGGATTTAAAACAAAAAGTCCCTTTGGTTTAATTACTCTAATTATTAACATATTTCAGACTATACAGAAGTATTTCAAGGGTGTCCTTTTGGGCTTACTTGATTCAAAAACATGGATGGCGTAGAAGGTGAAAGCCAAAAATATCAGGGTTAATCAGGTAGTAAGGAGTGCCTGAAGAGCTGAAATTCTTAGTGTATTTTAGCTTTATGCTGTCTATGCCTTCCTTTGTACGATATTCACTGCTAGAAAGAGGCCCTTAATAATCCCTTTCTCCAATTCTTTTGTGCTGTTTTCACTTTTCATATATGACCCTTAAGACTAAGGATGAAAACCTAGCTCCAGTGACACTGGTGACAACTCTGCCCCTGGTTTAAAAATGGCCAAGATTTCACATTCGAAGAGCATTTTTTCCCTCTTGCTTACTGCCTCTGTCCACTGGCTGCAACACACCTTTGGCATAAGTAGCTGCAATTCCACTAAAGCCAATGGTGAGTTTGATCGCTTACTAGCATTGTAACTAATAGGAATTGGCTGTCTATGCAGGGAATAGAGAACAAAACCAACTGTTAACATAATACTGGTTTGGTAAGTGAAAAACCTGACGACGTGAAATAAGCACATATTCTGAAAATCTGCCTCAAAGACCATCTGCTGCAATTTACTTTATTTAGATGATATTTCATATATTTGAGGTAATCAGGGCTAAATTAACTGCAAAGCCTGAAGTTCAGACATTCGCTATCTAAGTACAATATTACACGGTTACTAGAACCGAGGATACACTGTAAACAAATTTCCACAAATATGATTTCACACTTTTATTGACTTCGCTCTGACCATACTCTTTTGTGTTTGCTTCCTGTGAGTGTTCAGGCATTTGAATTTTACTGGCACAGGAGATCATGGAAGGGGATTTCAAACACTTGATTATTTTCAGAAACTGAATTTTTAAATTTGGACATGTGAGCGAGCACCCACTAATGCACATCTGGCCATGAACTAATGAGCACAGCTCAAATAGTGAATTTTAAATATTGAATACTCACAGCAAAGTGTGATCAATCCATGCTTAAAAATATTCCAAAAAGAAGTGAAATATTTTTGAGTATTGAATAAATTTGAGGAAATCATGAGCTGCTAATAAATATTCCATGAACAGAAAAAGAGGCTACATTTTTAGATAAATCATGGCAAATTATTCCCTCATCTCTAGTTATTATGATGTTAATAGAAAGCACCTTCAAGATTTTCCTATAGTGAGGTCTAATGATTAGCTGTTTAAAGTTTCACTTCATCTGTTAACTAGATGGAATAAGAAGTTGAAGCAGCCATGGTGACTCTGGGCTTGCATGTAATGTGTGCTTTTAGGACTATTACTGAACTTCAGTTCAGGTATTTGTGTGCTGTGCAGTTACCTAGAGCTGTAGAGTTGCAAGTCAGCACTGATGTACTGTGCTTTAAAAGAAAAAATATAGAGACCAATTAAAAGGAGGCAGCTATATGCATGCAGGATCTGTAGTCTAATCTATACCAGGAGAAAGCCCTGTAAAAAACAGTCAGAAAATATATACTCTTTGTGTGTACTTAAACAGGTCTCCTCCTTTTTGTGTGTATTTGTGTGAAAGGGATGAACTGAAACACTGAATTTTTTTTAAATGTTGATCATATTTCTTCAAACTGTAATGCTCTTTCTTCAGTGACAAAAATTATAAAGCAAGACAATTTTCGCATTTCTAATGACAGCCATTTTCAAAATAATCAAGCGCAAGTCATGTTCCTCTCACGACAAGCAAGCGTATTTTGTAACAATTTTACTTGGGCATTTCAGAAAACCTGCCTTGATTAGAACTAGAACAGGTAATGCAGTCTGTTGTCCCCAGAGTACTGCACAATACTGAAAACTAATGCCGAATGAGTGCAACATCTCTCATCAATACGACAAATTGTTAATAGAACTGACCAAAAAGCGCACACATAAAAACAAGTTGTTTTAAAAACAGAACGCCACCCTGGTTCTCGGAAAGTTTAACATTTCAAACTGTTGGTTTTTTTGCATGAACTCATTGGACTGTAGATCGGGCCCTGAGTGCCTTTGTTAGGTAGGAATACAATTTTCTTGCTATGAAGCATGCAGGGCCACAAGATCCAAAATCACAGATCAGAAGGAGGTGTAACGGCATAATAGGCTTGGGTTTTGTGTGTGGTTTTGTGTGCACATATAGGATAATAGCAGCATTATTAACTCCTGCTACTATTTTCCCAAACGGGACAAGGAATTGCTCTAAATAGCGTACTATACAATGTTGTCAGTCAGATGTAGTCATTTTTAGTTTGGCAGTCTGACCTATTGAAGATATCCCATTCAGATAATATGCAGTGGCGACCTCATAAACCATCACTCAGTGGGAACAAAAAAGACGGAGAAACAAAACTGGGATTGAGGCACAGGCTTCAGAAAGACCTGGTTTGAGTGCAAATGCACTGCAACAACCAGATATGTGTCCTTGATTATTTCCTTGCAGCACAGTCTGGTCAAAAGGGAGGACTATGATTACCACTGTACTGAAAGAAGTTAGTATAATTTTGGTTTAAATTGGTTTGGCAAGGCTTAGCAGAGTGGACCCCCTGGCAGTTGCTAGCCTCTCTTGACATGACACATCAAAGTAGTAAGCAAGGCACTAGCTGTTTCTGATAGCAGCGTGACGCACCTTTGGAAGGTGACAGACTCAAAGCCACAGACCCAGGCTCCAGCAGGGAGAGGCTGCGGGAGGCTTTGACGCACCACCCTATGGGACCTGCCGACTTTCAAGAAACACTGCAATTTCTTTCCCTTTTTCTCTTTTACTTGCTTGAATGCTGCCTCATGAATGGCTGATATTAGGAAAAGGATTGAGAATTGGAGACATTAGAAACAATGAAGACTTAATTGGGTCATCTTGTTCATCCCAAAGTAGGTGCAGGATTGTTCTCTGCAGTATCTTCTAGTGTCCTTTAAAGTGATTTGTATAAGCAGGCTTCCATTACTCCCTGGGGAAAGTGTTCATGTTATAATAAAGGTTGTTGTCAGGAAATCTTTCCCAACATTCAGCCAATTTGTCTGTTGCTTCCTACTGTCCAGTGTCTTCTACTTATCCGCAGCATCCTGCACTCTTAAATAACCAGAGATTTATACCCTTCAGACTGTTTGGTCTGAGCATGGAACGGGGAACTCATAGAGGATGCAACTGTTTGGATCGAATCCATTCAAACACACATCATCCAGCAGTTCCTTAAGTTAGGTGGAGGATAACTTCATGACTCAGAAACTGAAGTCTCCAACTGGAAAAATCTTCTTTGAATTACTTCTAGCCAGTAATGAGGAACAGTATGAGCTTGTGAAAATGATTAGGTGAGCTTGATACCACAAATGGGAGCATACTGAGCATACCTAAATTTAGCAGAGTAATACTTTCACTGCCTAAAGCAATAGCAATGTTCAAAATTCAGGAACGTACATTTTGGAAAACTAGGAAAATAAAGTCCCTATCCTGCCCTGAACTCTGTATAGACATAGGAATCTGCCTCTGCAGGATTAATTGCAGGATGAGGGTCCTTAGTGGTAGGGGATAATAGGAGGAGATGTTAACATCCACCAGTCTGGATATCCTGGATAAGGCTAATATTATTTTTCCAAAGAAAATGAAGTGTGCAGTATCTTCCTGAGGATGCTCAGGCCATGGCCAAAACATACCCAGGTATAATTTACATTGGTTTTGCATACCAGGAATGGACAGGTGAGTAGCTTCCAGGGTTAGCTCGCTCACTTGATAACTGTAATTGGCCCTTGATGTTAGGCATCCTGTTTTTCTTGTAACTGCTCACTTTAGGAGGTAAGGTCCTGTTTGTCCTCGTTCCTGAGATTTGTAAAATAGAAGTAAGGAGACACAAAGTCCTAACAACTTCACTCAGAGTCTCTCCAACATTGATGCAACTGGTGCTGGTTTATGATGTTAGAGTAATTAGCTAAGTAATTTACCAAAGCAATATTTGTGTGTTTTGAAAAGTCATAGAGAATTGGGAAGTGCCCACTTGCAGGAGAAAAGCCAATGTAATAATAGCCTTTGAAAAAGGAAAGAAAGGTGTTCCTCATAGTAAAATAACGGAACAAATGTTCTGAAAAAAATCATTCATCATCTAGAGCGATACTATCCTTTTTGATGTAAGGTGTGGAAGATGCTTTCTTACAAAGTATTGCCAAAAAAAAGTTATGGACAGAATCAGATTTAGAAGGGAGCAGCAGAAAGAAATAGGAGTCCAGAGGATTTGAGATGTGAGGAGAGATGTTCAATTGTTCAGTTAATTGAATAGTTGTTGAAGTTACCTATGTAAGTGAGTAATTGCAAGGATTGTTCATTTTTTCCCTTTTTTGGAAGATCAGGAGCTTGTTTGGTTGGTTGCTTTTTTTCCTCAATAGTCTGGTTTGTCATCAGTTTTCACTCCATAAAAATGTCAGGTGCAATATTTTGTTAGCAAATAATTAACTTCGTACCTTCTGTAATATATCACCCAGAGCTCTTGGTTCAGTTTTTGTTGTTGAAATATCCTTCCTATCTTCCTTCCTGTCCACACCTGTTTTCTCTTGTTCATCAGATAGCAGCTCAAGCCCTTAACCATTGTAACATCACAGTAATTTTTCTCTCATTTATTAAAGAATCTACTTCTGATCTCATTTTGCATAAGTAAGTGTCACTCTTGCTTCTCTTAGTTTTAAAACAGAGCTACTTTTGAAAAAAATACAAAAATCTGGTTTAAGATCCCAAGCAATTAGCAGATCCTATATGTAACATTTTATAAAAATAGGTGGTAAAACATAATATTAGAAAATAAGGTTCTTCATGTTTCCCATTCCTGGGTTGAAGATTCTGCTTCTCTTGTGCTAGAGCTGATAATGCCTCATGCCCTGATACCATAAAGCAGGATATCAGATGGATCAGGTCAAATGTACTTCCCAAGGGTGTCATGTTCTCATGGGAGGCTTGGAGTCTAAGGCACAGGAAGAGTGAAGATTTTGGCATTGGTTGCATGGTTTAGATCAAGTATGGAAATGTGGAGAACTTGGGCCTTAACAAGTAAAGAATCTTGTAGTTTACCTTTAAAATGGATTTTTTTTTGTGCTTTGTAACACTTCCTATATATGTTGTTAATGATTTTGGGACTCGCTTGGCTTGACTTATCATGCCTGCATGATAAAATTCCTTTTGAACTCTGCTGTGAATATTCAGCCTTTTCTTTTCTTTTCTTTTTTTTGGTCTTTGTTTAGGAAATTCCCAACGCTCTGTGGACCAATCTGATCCAGGAACGTCTGTCAAATGTGGACTGCATCAAACGAGTAAGAATTGCTCCTCAGAGGGCCAGTGGATAAGCACTTACACAACTCGCACACAGTAGTTAGCATTCTGAGTCCTGAGCAGAGGAGGGAATGGGGGCAAATCAGTAGGGGCTTAGGAGCGGATTGCTTTCTTGAACATCAGCAGAGGGAGTTTGGAGCTTTATTAACAGGATAAAGGGGAGGATGAGAGTATGCATATGCTAATCTTATAGCACTGAGATGATCAAAGGCTGAACAAGCATAGCTTTGTTGTTTGCCTGGGGCAACTGGCAGAGTTCTAGTGGACAAAACAGATAAACAGAAAAATATAAAAATCAATATATTGACTTAGGTTTTCAACTCTTATTGGGGAGAGGAGAGGGGAGGAGCCCTAATGTTTATAATTCCATTTCAGTCTTTTCTCACTCTGTCTTTTTTCCCTCTATAACAGGAAATACTGTATTGAAATATATTCCCTTCTAGGTAGTAATTAATATATCCCTTGTTGCCTTACAGAAAGGGATTTTGAGATACCCACCAATGCAAGGTATTCTTTTCTGTGTACTTTGCACAAATTTAGTGCGGCGTTTCAAAATAGAATCAAAAAAGGATTCCTTGAGTGGGTTAACATCAGTCAGACTGAATGGCTTGAATATGGACTATAGAATAGTCAACCCCCTGTTTATGTATTTCCTTTAAACCTGAGGAAGATGTTATGGTTTATTGAGTCAATAATAAGTCCATTATGAAAGATTATTGTAACAGGGTCGATAGGGTATGAAGACTCTTCTTAAGAGAGTCTTTATATGCAGACTGTACTGGATGTGGTGAACTCCAAACCAACTCCCTGGTCCCACAGAGACATTTAAGTTTATGGAGGACTAAAAAATCCTCAGTCTGCAGTATGTCACATAATACATCTTCTCAGACCAGTCACATGCATAGTTTACCCTCCTGCAGGGTGCTATAATTAATAACTCATGATTTCACAGAGGTGTTGTGAGGCTCACAGTTTATAAGACTCTGTCCCATTTTGACATCAGTGCCTGAGTTCTTTATTAAATAAAGCTGGACCAGTAGCTAATAACGTCACACTGAAATACTGAAAAATTGTCTTGTAAAATTGTCTTAGTAGCAGGAATGGCAAAAACTACAGATGCCAGAAATGTCATGTCCCATACTCCTCTTCATGTCTCCTTAATTTTGGTATATTCTGCAGTGATTTGTAAGTTTTATCTTCCATTTTAAGAAGACTGTTTGACGCCCTGTTTTATTCTACATTGCTGCCACAATTAGGCTTCCCAGGTCTCGAGTATGACTATATGTCTTAGTTTCTTGCACATGTGGAAAACTAGTCCACTTAAAAATACAGTTGGGTCACTACCTCATGTTAGCACAGTATTTAAACACAGGTATTTATGTAGTGCACGTAGTATCAACTCTTCTGTTTGTTTCTTTTGCAAAGATAAAGCCATGACCAAATAAATGGGATATGGGTGTTTTTTTGCACAAAATATGGTACTCCACAGACCCCTGCTAAACTGTGAACTGGCCCCTTCCCTTTACTGCCGTGAGGTATGAATTTAAACCCTATCTGGAACCATTTATTTGCTAATAGAGGAAAACTCTTCAAAAAAGAACAAAAATCGAGGAAATAAAAAGCAAACCCTAACGTTAAGGCTCTGTCAAAGATAATTGTTTGCAAGTCACAAAAGCCCCCACTGTTGTCCCTTATTTTTATAGTGTAGAATTTTACTGCTCAAGTAGGTTCTTGCCTATGACAGTTCATGCCTTTCTGAACCAGTTAAGGTGCCACCTTGCCCTACCATCTGTCTGACTTCATACCAGCATGGCTTACTACCCCTCACGTCAAGTAGTTTGATTCAAGAGAGAAGGCTTTGTCCAAGTAAAGAAACATACATATCAAATGAAGTGTTTTACCAGCTCCTCAGTAAATATTTAGCCAAACCTGCTTTTCAAGGAGACGGGAGTCATCCCAAAAAAAAAGTCTTATAAGCATTCCTGAAGATGATTTACAAAGTACCTAGTCTAAAAATCCCAAAACAAATATAGAACTAACCATTTTCCCAGGGAAAAATCATAGATAAAGACTTGTTTCATCATTGCATTAATTCTAGATTTACACCTGTGTAGCTTCCTTGATATGTGCATAAAACTGGAGTAACCTAGTGCTGAACAGGCCTCAAATGGCTAAATATCATCAAGAGCTTGTCTACATGAGGAACTTACCAAGGAGTATGCTAGGGTGAACAGGCCCTGAGTCTTGACAAACTGAATAGTATAATTAATTAAAGTTTGTTAAAGACTACCTGTTATTTCCCTTAACTGAGAAAATGATGGAAAAGCTTCTCAGTACATTATATACCACAATCCTCCATGACACTCATCCCCCTCTCCCCCTCTTTTTTTTTAATGGACCATTTCTTTGCATTTTAGGAGGTTGTGGTATGCACTTCACCTCTCAGCCACTGCGAGGTTGAAACAATCTTGTTGAATGGTTAAAAAGAAAGAAGTAAAGACATTGCAAGAAAACCTAAGTATCTAGAAAGTGGTTGTCAGTTTTCCTGTACAAAATACTCTGTGCCTTAATCCATAATTTATCTGTTCGTTTTGAATTTGCAAAGTAGAATTAAACTTTTCCATTGCAAATCACTATGCTTGAATTATTTGGGTCTGCTTAGTTTCCCTTGGAGCTCTTTTAATCTGAGTTTTTTTTTAATTTTATTTTATTTTAACTGGTGATAGATATTTATCCCTCCAGGCCAAATGTGTGGTAGTATTTACTGTATTTGCATAAACACACTAAATTCACTCTAGAATTAAACCTCTCAGTGTAGCTGTGGGATGTGTTTAGAAACACAACAAATACACTACACAATCTTGCACATTTATGTGCTATTTTGAAATAAATAGCTTAACTGCTGAATTTTACCATGAAACCAGTATTATCGTCTCTGGATGTAACAGAAACTAAGCAGAACGTGCAAATTGGAAACAACTGAAATGTTATTTCTGGCTAGTGTCCTGACTGAGTCTGTCAAATATATAGGGCAGTTCTGTGGCAAGAAATAAATCAGTTTAATACCTGATTTACCTTATTGTTCTCATGGTAGGCGATTAATTTTTAACATTTCTCTAGTTAAATAAAATCGGCATACCTGCCATCTCACTTCTGACTTACAAGTGAAAAAGTGGCACCTAATGCCTGTACTAAGGTACTGGGACTCATGGTGCCAAAGGGCTATAATGTGATAGATAAGAACTATGGGTTTTTTATTCTCAGAGGCTGCTGCTTAAAACAAGAGAAATAAGAATAATTAAGAAAGATGTCAAATCCAGTATTAAAACCCAGGTGTTCTGGTTATCAACCACTATTGAAAATACATTGTCCCTGGCTTTTCAGTTAAAGGAGTGTCTATGCTAAGATTTTTGCTACCAGCACCATCAATGATGCAGCTCCCTTTTTTGCCATTTGTGGTTGGGGCATGAGTGTACATGAAGTTTTCAGGCTGCCACTATTTTTTTGAAATGGGATAGTGTTTAACCATGTATATCAAATGCCTATCTGGCATGGTACTGCTGGTGCATTCTCTGCAGTAATACTACTGCTAGCTGAGCTGCATTAGTGGTAGGTGTGGTAGGAAATTTTAGAGAAAATGACTGCAGACAAGGCCTTCAAACATTATTCTGCTTAGGGGTGAATGAACTCTTCAGTTTAGGTACTTTTGAAACCTCTGTAAGGTGCTCTGGTCTTTCTGAGAAACCGTTCTTTTTGGTGGAAGGAAGCACATCTGTTTTTAATGGATGAGTTTTTAACATGTTCATTGTGGTGCCACGAAGGTAAGTGCTGAGATTCTTGAGCATGCAGACAAATTCTGGTCTTCTCCAAAGGCCCTGTCTGCACCATGCTTCTTTGCCAGATGTTTCCCACAGTTGCTGATGTTGTTTCAACTCTGCTGGGAGAAGCAATGGTGGGAGCTCTAGCTAAGACAAGGCAGTTTCAGTAGCTGATGCTTTAGACAATGTTGATCTGCTGTCAGTAGTATTATGTGTAGCAGCTCCATGTCTAGAGCCCGGGCTACTTCAATACTCCTGTCACTGTTACTGCCAGCAGTACTGAACCAAAACTTGGAGTGATGGGTAACACACAGCAAGGAAAACTTAATATAGATATAGCCAAGAAAGCTAAACTAAGCAAAAAGGGGAGTGTGTTCTACCAGTCCACTTTGATTTGAGTAAGTTCACTGACTCTAGGAACCGTGTGCAGGTGACTTTTACAAAGTTTTGATTGTCTGTTAATGGTTCCCTAATCAACATACAGTGATTCTTAGCCATTAAATGTCCTCACTGTGTTTGTGCTTACTTTCTTTGTGAAAGGGGGGGTCTGTGCATTTTTATTTTTCTAAGTGAAAGGTAGTACAATTAATATTGGGAACTGTAGATTTCTGGATTTGTTGTACAGATTTATGCTATCTAGCTCATAACATGAGTCAGTATTTTATACTGAAAATATTAATAGGTTGTAGGAGCAGTATGCTGGACCACAGTACCACCAGCTGTTTGTTTTATTTCTCCTTGTGGTGTCATTGAGCTGGCATTAATTGTACAGCTTTCATCCCACTGACAGTAGGAATACAGAATTTTTTGTTCCATTGTTTTGACACTCACAGGTTTATAGATGTCATAGGCGCCCTCTAAGGAGTACAATTTTATTGATCAACAGCTCTGCTGAGACTGTGTGTTGTGTGTTCCTCTAATACAAATGCAGTTAGGACTGCAAGGGATCAGACGGGTAGGTCTTACAGCACACACAGAAAACTTATTGCAAGCATTATGTTAGAACCAGGGACTTGTGAAGCAGATATGAGGACTTTTCATCTTACAGAGTTAGTACATGGCGGCTATAGCCCCACTGACTATTGTCTAATTTTTGGTGCTGCTGGGCTGTAATGTTGTAGAGTGAATTTATCGAACTGGAGAAGCCTGGCAAAGAGTTTGCT